CGCAACATCGCTTCAAATGATAGAACTAGGGGGATTCAAGCTAAGATAGCTCCATCACTTGTAATTAGCTAGGGTAATGGTTAGGTTAGTGTAGTTAGCTTAGTTTCTTAATCACTATTTGATTTGGGCTCCATTACACATATTTTATCTCTCATTTGTTTATCGTTTGACTTGGTAAATGATTGTCCCTCAACCTAGTTTACGTTAGGTTGTCTTTTTTTTTTTTTTTGCTACATTTAAGGTCCTAGCACATGTGGGAAGGTTGAGGATGAGTTTCGGGACGATTGGAAGTTGAAAAGCGCCAAAAAGTGAAGAACAGTCAAATGGCATGGTCTCCAGGCCCTGACAAATGAGGCGAGACCGTGACATTGAAAATTTCAAGAAAGGTTTCTAAGTCTCACGGGCCTAAAGGTTGTTGCTAAACCAGGCTCTGAGTCTTGCTCAAGTTGCCAAATCATTATATAGACATGTATCCATCCAATAAATGAGGGAATCATGATGTTCAATGAGAGAATCATGACGTTGAATGAGAGAATCATACGTTCAATAAGAGAAACATGACGTTTAATATGAGAAGTTAAACATTGGTTTACCTGTTGGGGGTCAACCACACCCTTCTCAATAGATCGATGAAGTGAAGTGATGGAAACTGCTTCATCCAAATTTGTCGTCGGAGCCGGCAGAGCCCCCATCCTACCATTGTTTCCACCAACAAAATCCATTCGACCAACTTTGAAGTTGGTCACTTGATCCTCTTCCATAAAGACTTGTAGAAGATCGTCATCTTGTTGTTTATGTCACGGAGCCATCAAACCAAACACAAGGTCCCACCGGGTGTGCCAATTTCTAGCAAGAAAACTTGCGTTGAATTGAGATTAATTGCACCTTGACTTCTTTAGACAATAATTACTAAGACATGAGTCACACCTCTTTAAACAAAGTTCGAACGAGGGTGTTTGATTGATGGTGAAAGGAAACTACAAATTCTAAGTTGATTTACTCCTACTCCTATGGAGGTTCAACGAGAGCTCCAACTACGACTAAGGCTACATTGCAGAGAAAATGATAAAGTTTGACATTGGGTCTCAAATGGTTGGTTGCGGAACCCTTGTGAAACACTCCGATCCTTTTAACAGACTGAAATAGACATGGCTCTGGAGCCGATTAAGAACAATCTCAAAATTTTTATTAAACAAACACAACTGAAACCTTTCAAACAAAATACATCAAATGCAATGCCCTAAACATGTGGGCAAACTCAAATTTGAAGGTCTCAACCTTATCTCCAGTACATACTCAAATCACAAAGTGCAACAGCTTAAGTAAATCTAACTAGGAGTCTTAACTGAGCTCTCGGAGACCTCGCCAATGCTCGTGTTGTCGCTCGCCTCGCCCAGCCTCTTCTCGTGATCCATATATGCTAACCCTTCCTCAACCTGGTGAGTGAGAAGGGGCCAGTCTCGTCGTTACTTCCTAAGGTCTTTGCCTAAGGAAACTCTTACTGATACGTCATTAGCAGTTACTTTCCTCTTACATGAAAGTCGTTCTCGCTTTCATCCTTAATAATTTAGTCCTTACTAGCTTATAGAAGTTCTCTACTTCTATCTTAACTCCTGCTCATTACTAGGATCCACCATGTTACGTATCATCGTTCGGTGTCCCTATCCTCAAGGCAATGGTACTGCATTATGTATCGTCATCCAGTCCATGCCCGGTCAACTACTGCGTTACGTATCGTCGTACAGTAGTCACCCGACCATCTACCGCATCCAGTAGTGGTCCAACCGCCCGGGGGCTCAATTACCAATAACCATACATAAAAAAACACATTCATACGCAAAGCACAAACCTTAAGTAGGCGGTGAGATGCATCATACACATAATCACGTATAACTCAAAAATTAACTAGCATAACTTGAAATAAAAGATACAAACTAAAAGACCTCGACGGAAATTTTACCCCCTTTACCCCTTCTTCATCGTCGGTTGACCCATGTTATCGTCCGAGACTCCTTGCCCAAACCCCTAGTGGTTAACTTCCTTTTGCACTTTCTCCTAGTAAGTATTTAGGCAAAAACTTAATACTTCTTTTTACTAGCGTTACTAACTAAACGATCTCCAATTTGATTGATTCCAATTTCAAACTCCTTTTAATTTCCCATAAGTTCCCCTGCAAAATTCTGGAAAATTACCTTTTTGTCCCAAAATGGCAAATTACAACATAGTATCCGAATTTTCTGGTTCCTATCAATTCGGCCCCAAATTTTCAGAATTGTTGAATTATGTCCAGCAGCCCCTACCCACTTTCAAATCTTAACAATTCGGTCCAAAAAGGCTTATTTCGATTTGATACCCAAACCTTTGCTAATTAATAACTAATACTTGGCATGGTAAATTACTGATTGACGCCCAAACTTTCCCATTGTTCCAAAACTGTCCTAACACGCTAAAAGACCCAATTAGCCTTCAATATTCATCAATGTATAAAATACTGCCATTGTGTTCCAAACAAACGGGGGAAGGGGGGGGTTACCTTTACACTGTTGTCGCTGCCTCCTCCTTGAAGCTCATTGTCGATCCACTCCTTCGGTTCCTCTTCCTCTTCCTCGGACAGCAGCAGCCCGACGGTCGACTTTGCCGGAGGTCCGGCACCGCTGCGAGCTCCGCCCTCTCTTCTCGGCCCACACATCGGAGGCCAAATCTTACTTCAGATACAACAGGGGCACAAGACACAGCCGTGTTTTGACCTGTGTTGTCCTCAAGCGTTGCCCCGTTCAAATCTTCCTTCAGCGTACAACGACGCTCCAAGCAACACGACCAACGAATATGGGCATGTTCTGACCTGTGTTCCATTGCGTTACTGGTCTCTCGAAAATGGCTCGTCCCATTTATTACGGTCTTATGAACAATTAAATGGAACACGATTCACCCACACGGTCGTTTTCAACCCGTGTTCCAGCGCGCTATGCTTCATTTGCAGTTTCATCCAAACACCCCATTAAACCAAGCACGGTCTAGCAACATGGCCGTGTGATGGCCCGTGTTCTAGCATGTTGCCACTTTTTCATCGCTTTATCCCTTCTAATCGTCTTCTAGCTTTGCGGTCGATCCTTGGCCGACCGAACCTAACCAGAACTCGGGGTGTTACACCTTGTATCTATCGACCTCCTCTTCTATTTATAGGCATGTGTTGGTAACTGCCTTGGAGAACCGTCTTCTTGATAACTGCTAAAAAGAACCGCTCCCTCTTCTCCGGAGCGGTGGTTGCTCCTTCAACCTCCTATGTGCGTCTCTTGAAACTTTCATCTTGGTGCTTGACATGGTCTAGATCTAGATCTCACGACCACCAAGGTCCAGCTCACTCGAGACGGGAGATGTCTAGATTCCACAACCAACGCAAGACTTAACTCCCTCGTGACCAACGTGCTCGAGCTCTCGGACTTAGTATATTATGTGGCTTCCTTCTCACCATGTAGTTTTCCTTCTCACGTCCAAGTCGTTGATTTAGATCTCGGATGTGGTCTAGATCTCACGACAAAGGCCATCTAGATCTCGTGACCACCGTGATCTACTGGACTCGTGACGTAGGCCATCTAGCGGACTCACGACGAACGTGGTCAAGCAGACTCTCGACAAACGCGGTCTAGATCTCGCGACAAACGCGATCTGGCAAACTCCACGTGACAATGCCTCCTCGTGATATGATTTCGAGGCCAAGGTCTTCTAGATCTTGCGACCATCATGGTCTACCATGGTCGCGACGAAGTCCTTCTAGCGGACTCACGGCGAATGCGATCTACCAGACTCGCGACGAACGTGGTCTTGCAGACTTAGCCTCCTTGCGATGAAAATCGTGCCCTCTCAGAGACTTGGCCGTTTGAGCTTAAAAATCTAGTACCATAAGGCCCAGTTTAATTAACATTAATCGTTATAGTTGATCTTACCTTAAAAAGACAATAAATTTCTTATGAATAATAATGTGGTACAAAATTATTCTTTAGGGGTAAACACACAGCAATTCAATAATAGCAATAAAGGACACCCGAAGAATTTGATTAAATACAAAATTGCTCTTCCAGCCACGAACTAACATCACACTTTCTGTCTTTCAAAATTAGAATAGCATCGCATGTTATCTCTCCCACATCACATGTTATGTTCATCTTCCATTATATATTCCTTTCTATATGTTTCTTCTTCGTTAATATATTTGGGGTGTCACATTCATAAGGTAAGTTTAATTTATTTTTCCTAATGTTTTAACCTAAAATAGCAAGAAGGGGTTTTTTCAGTTTAAAACTCTAAATTTTAAGAATTTGGGTGCAAAAGCACAATCTATTGTATATATTAAAATGATTTGGCACCTAACCATGTGTATAATAGTCTGTCTTATTAAAAAATGGTATGTACGTTGTAGTAGTATTAGGAGATCAATACTATGAAACTGAAATATTCATAGTATTTGTAGTGTAGGGATTGATGGTCTTACTAAAAAGATTTACAATAATCAATACATAAAACTAAAATGTAGTAAACATATTCATAAATAAAAAAGTAGTAAACATTTATAAAAATTAGTGGTCTTACGTACACAAACAAAGACGTAAAGGTGACATCTTACGAGACTGAAAATCGTGATATTGGGCTTGTTATATAACCGTGTAGAACTATCTATGGGTAATATTAGTTAGTAATAACAACAAGGAAATGGTAAATTGAGTAAGATTAGAGAATCAGTTCACACAACAAAATGCCATAATTTTGTCTTCATTCATCATTTAATTCTTTCCATTGTCGCTAAAAGACAGTCAAACGACTTTGGCATTCACATTAATCACGGGCATCGGGTGGGATGTATATGCCACTCCCCGTCCTCATCCATCCAACTCATATCGTAACGTAACCCCAGAGCATTTATTGATTAAGAATTAATTAGATGACTCAACTTAATTAAGCCTCCTCATCGTAATTACGTACATGAATTTCTCCACCCCCCACCGCTAATCTCCCCCGCCGGTGAAGGACTTGCCAATGTAAGCAATAACCTGGCACAAAACTAGCAAGACCCGGTTCCGGTTCCCCAAGGGCCGCCACGTGGACTTGGAGAAGACAGCCTGGCAGTCGGTGGCGTTCCGCGCCGCCTCCCCGGACAGGTTGGCGAGGCCGAAGTACGTCTCGGAGTTCAAGTCGTTGTAGGCGATCTCGAGGCGGGAGATGGCGGCGTCGTAGTCGGATCCGCACCGGTCCAGCCGCATCCGGTCGACCCGGCCCGTGTGGTCCTTGGCGAGGCCCGAGATGTAGGACCGGGTCCCTGTGGCGTTGGTGTAGGCCAGGCCCACGGAGATGAACGCCATCACGTAGCGGTCGGCTTCTGGGGTCCGGTCGTCGGCGTACAGCGCCTCCACGCACAAGGGGTAATCGGTGGTTGTCTTGCAGATGCGCTGGACCAGCGGCGTCGGCGGTGGGGACTTTGCGGCGGCGGCTGTGGAGAGGAGAAGGAGGAGGGTTGTGAGGAGGAGGGGATGGTTGGGTGACATGATGGGATTGGGATCTGGGAATTAAGAGGAATGAATGGCTGAGATGGTAAGGATTGGTGGGCTTGTGGTGAAGTGGAAAAGAAAATGAAAAACGACTTGGGGCGGACTAATTTAATGGTTTGATTGGTAGGGAAAGAGAAGGGGTTGGGCAACGTTTTATAAACTCGCCATGTTTGGCCGCTTAATTCTATTGAACAAGTGATCTATCACTTAACGGGTCGTTTGCTTGAGGGTTTTGGTCATGGATTTGGTCATGGAAATCTATCCATTATGGACTTTAACGAAAATCCATCGTTTGCCTTAGCGAATTAGGGAGATGGAATTTGTGGGTCCCGCCACTTTTGGGGTTCCAAATTCGTGGACCCCACAGACTTGGAAGTTCCACCTCTTGAGGTGGGATTTGGGTGATGGATTAAAATCCATGATGGTAAATTACCTTTCTACCCTTACTTATTACTTTAATTACAAAGTTGTCCTACTTTAATTCAATGGTCATGCAATTATAAACTTTTATAATGTCGTATTTTATATATATGAGAATTTTTCATTTCGTTTTGCGATATCATAGTTTATTTAAATATGAATGTATATGTGATTTGTTAGATTCAACTATAAACATCTTATGCTCATCTTGTGCATTATTATTTGATTGATTGTCGGATTCCAAAATCGGTGAGTTAGCAAGAAGTTGATGAGTTGTAGCAATAAAGCGAGCAATTGGTTGCAATTGATACATAATATTGCGTACATTATTAGATGAGTTGTTAATTAGTGCCAAACTATAATACATTTCTATATTTGTAGTTGAATTATAAGTCCACATAGTGGTAAAGAGTTTAAAATTTTATTGTATGCGTTGTTGTTTTTTTATGAAATTTATGGATTATAATATAGAAATATAATTAGATAAGATAAGGGTAACAAGGTAATTTGAATTTCATATCCACAAATCTATTCAAACAAAATCTATAATCAAATCCAACAAGCAAACAATAGACTTGGTCAAATCCATAATGCCACCAAATCCATCATATATCCATGGTTTTCCAAAACCCAAGTTTTACCAAAACCCTCATTTTTCAAATCCATGAAGCAAACGACCCGTTAATTATGGTTTGTTCAATTCCCACGAGGCCACGAGTAATGCAGTCAAAAGTGTGATTCTACCTAAAAGTGATTGGGTGACCTAAAAAGGTAAAATCGTAAGCTTTTAAGTTTTAAAGCGTAGATTTTAACTACATTTGTCAGGGAAAATCACGATTCCACATAGAAGCGTTTTGGTGACCTAAAAAGGTAAAAGCGTAAACTTTTAAGTTTTAAAGCGTGATTTTGACTGGATTAATGTGAGTAGGGGCTGGGGACTAACTATGCTTGAAACAAAAATTAATGGTCATTTATATTAGTAAAATGCTCTTCACACACAGAGTTAGATGTTTGTATAATTTGTACATATAATTTACTATTGATGTGTGCTTTATTTGGTATTTGGCTTTGAACTATGTAGAAAAATACTCAAATTACTTGGAGTATGCTTAGAATTAGAATGTATTGAAAACATGAGAAAGTCAAAATGACTAACAAAGAAATGCAACTAACAGTGACATATATGTATACAAATAAAGTGTTGCTTACATAAAGAGTGGCTAAATGACACGTTTGATCACTCAAATTACATAAATCTTTCGTGTTTGCTACCCGAATTATTTTTTTTCTTCTTATTGGTCACTAACTTTATGAATTATTTCACCGTTAATCACCCAATTACACAAATTTTCATGTTTGGACCTCCACGTTGAGCAGCACCTTCGTCAGCTTGAGCGGTCGGATCTCCACACTCGATGACATCATGTTTCGTCCACTGAGCAAGTTCGGCAAGGTCTTTGGCCTCTGCATCCTCACCTCGGTCGGCAGGCGGCGCCATCTGCTCAGTTATTTTCCCGTCGCGGAACGACATCGCGCGGTACGTTAGCCGGATATTGCGATTGTTAGTCTTCTCCATTGTCTCGGGTCATATGTGGTTGCTCTTCCCCGTTGACGACATATAGAATAGATACTCACAACAATCACAACACAATATGCAGAGACAAATCTATCTAGGGAACCGTAATCGTAATCACTTGGTCGTTGTCGAAGAAGACGGACTATCTCACCTCAAACCGTGGTACCGAAGAAGCAGAAGCGAGGGAAAGCGAGAGCGGCGGAGGAGATTCGGTTCTCAAATCCCCACGGCTGTCATCTCGTCGGCGCGACCCGATGTTGAATCGCAAACGGATCTGTCTTGCATAAACCGCGAAATTGGTATCAATTTAAATATTGAATTTAGTCCTTGCTTATTAGGCAGCGCGTGACAGAGAAACGAGGCGGTGAGTGTCGGTAGTGTGTTAGAGGGTGATGATAAAGCTCTTGGCTTTTAGGGGCGGTCGGCGGCGGCTGTGAAGCAGGGAGGAGTTTGCTGGCAGTGGTTAATTAATTGTTTTTTAATTTTTTTAAATGGAAAAGTCATTAAGTTAACGATCTAGTTAGCAGTTATGTTTGCCATGTCATCAAAAAACTGACCGAATTAAAGGAGTCTGATGGAGACTGACAGTCGGTGACTAACGATGAAACAATTCGTTAAGTTAGTGACTAATAAGAAGAAGAAGAAAATAATTCAAGTGGCAAATATGAAAGATTTATGTAATTTGAGTGACCAAATGTATAAATTAGCCTATAAAGAGTAGTGACAACATCAGATTTGCTTCCTGATAGACCATGTATAACACATGTTACCCCTATTCTTGAGCTGTTTGAGATGTCGATTCTCGTGTTTTAGGCCAATTTCACACTAGGTTGTTCTTTTTTGTGATATTTCAGGTCTTAGTACGTGAATGAAGGTTTAGGAACGAGTTCGGGGTCGATTGGACGGAGATCAGACGTTTGGCGAGAAGCTGAGGAAGTCACACGGGCATGCCTAAAAGCAGTGCAGTCAAAATCGCGCATTAAAACGTAAAAACTTACGTTTTTACGTATCCAGGCCACCAAAACATTTCAGTTTCTACCTAAAGTCGCTTAGTCACAAAAACTGATAATAACATGGGTAAAATCGGTAAAATCGCTTAAAATCGATAAAATCGCGATTCTGAAGCGTTTTTATACGATTTTGATCATCTCATAAATATGTGCTAATTGGCCCAAAATGATGTAATTTTGGAGACATATAATATAAGCAAAGAATAATAAAAAAAGGAAAACATGATTCATCACTCGTTCTACAACTAGTGTCGGGATAGGGGCTTCACATTAGGTTGAAAAGACACCTAATGATATTCTCAACAGTCGCTGACCTTCTATCAGTCTTCTCCCTTAATCTTCACCTGAGGCTCTTACCTAGGTTACGATAAAAGTTTATGGGTAATTGATCGTATGTAATTATGTAAACTCAAACCAGTTTATGAGAATTTGGATTCTCAAGCTCGTTTACGGTTTACGATCTACGTTTATGAGCTTATTATTAAGATGTTATGAGCTTTCTTACTTTTGAGTCAACACAAATTAGTTTATATGTTAGATATTACATTTTAATTATGAATTTCATGTAGTTATTCACTTATCTAAAATCTACACACTCACATTTTACATACTATATGTTGTACTTAACATATTTTAGCTATTTTAGAGGGTGCGTCAAAAACTTACTCTTTTACGCTTTGATTCTACGTTTTACGATTTTACCCATTTCCCGCTTCTAGGTAGAATCGCGCTTTTAACTGCATTGCCTAAAAGTCACACGGCCGTGTAAGGGACCCCTTGTGGTCGTGTGGAAATTCCAGAGAACTCACACGGGCACCCTGGAAGTCCACACGGCCGTGTGGGTCGTGGCCGTGTAGGAAGTCTGAAACCACTTATCGAAACACCGGGTTTTGACACTCACACGGGTAGCCTGGGAGAGTCACACGACCGTGTGGCCTGGCCATGTGAGTCGGGAAATTCTGGGTTTTAACCCAAATTCGAGCCAAAGGAGAGAGGGAGCTGGGTTTTGGATCCCAAACACCCAAGGGACGAACCAAAGAGAGAGGGCGATTTGAGGGCAATCTTGGAGTGGAGTTGGAGGATTTCTTCGCCTTGGAAGCTCGAGGAACAAGCCCAGACTTGAAGACTGATCATATGAAGATTCTTACTGCAGTCTCTCTCTTCTCTATGGAGTAACTTCCCTTCACTTAGGTTTTGAGGAACCCTAGCTATGTTTGTTTGATTGGATGATTGTATGAGTACTCCTACTTGATAATCTTGAGTTCATATTCAATCTATGCATGTTTTCATGATTCAATTCTGCTTTAGTCGAGATTATTGATTCTGCTTTAGTCAAGATTATTGATTCTGCTTTGATCCTATGAGAGAGAATACCTAATTAGGTCAATAGAGCACCATAGATTGATAGTATTGGATCGATTGCTTTAGTCGAGGGTTGATTCAATGCTTTGTATCGATTGAGAACCTCATTCGATAGAGGGAATCGAGTTCAGAACGCCTTGATCGGTTGTTCTAGATAAGGATACATCCCTCTAGGCAATTGACTCAAGAGGGCCTTGATCCTTTAGTCGAGATTCAAGGTCTAGTTAAGGATTCTCCGCATTGTGAATGAAAGTGAAACGGGTTAGAGATCATCAATCATTAATCTGGCTAGTGGTTAGGGGGAATCATACCTAAGTGAGTTCCCAACCTGTAATTAGATTAACTTTAACTGTAGTTTGTTAGAGTAGTTTTAGTTCTTCCATCTTAATCTGGTTTGCTAGATAATGAACTGAAGCTAAGTAATAGTAACTCTAGAGACCTGTGGATTCAATATTTATTACTTGAGCCACTATACTGCAGTCCCTTTCATTGGTTACACTTGGCCATTGTTAGGAGTTGTGTCATAGCGAATCACTTCCTATTATACATACATAATCAATCTTCACCATAAAAGCAAATGATTGTACTTTAATGGAGTTCAATGTATCTATGATTTTTTTTTTCAATTG